CTAGATTTTCGAGTGTGATTTGTTTTGGCTTGCTAGATATTTGAGTGAGATTTGTTTTAGCTTGCTTGATTTTCGAGAGTGATTTGTTTTGGCTTGCTAGATATTTAAGTGAGATTTGTTTTAGCTTGCTAGATTTTCGAGTGTGATTTGTTTTGGCTCGCTAGATATTTGAGTGAGATTTTTTTTTAGCTTGCTTGATTTTCGAGTGTGATTTGTTTTGGCTTGCTAGATATTTGAGTGAGATTTGTTTTAGCTTGCTTAATTTTCGAGTGTGATTTGTTTTGGCTTGCTAGATATTTGAGTGAGATTTGTTTTTCGAGTGTGATTTGTTTTAGCTTGCTAGATATTTGAGTGAGATTTGTTTTAGCTTGATTGATTTTCGAGTGTGATTTGTTTTCGCTTGCTAGATATTTGAGTGAGATTTGTTTTTCGAGTGTGATTTGTTTTGGCTTGCTAGATATTTGAGTGAGATTTGTTTTTCGAGTGTGATTTGTTTTGGCTTGCTAGATATTTGAGTGATATTTTTTTAGGTTGCTCGATTTTCGAGTGTGATTTGTTTTGGCTCGCTAGATATTTGAGTGAGATTTTTTTTAGCTTGCTTGATTTTCGAGTGTGATTTGTTTTGGCTTGCTAGATATTTGAGTGAGATTTGATTTAGCTTGATTGATTTTCGAGTGTGATTTGTTTTGGCTTGCTAGATATTTGAGTGAGATTTGTTTTAGCTTGCTTAATTTTCGAGTGTGATTTGTTTTGGCTTGCTAGATATTTGAGTGAGATTTGTTTTTCGAGTGTGATTTGTTTTAGCTTGCTAGATATTTGAGTGAGATTTGTTTTAGCTTGATTGATTTTCGAGTGTGATTTGTTTTCGCTTGCTAGATATTTGAGTGAGATTTGTTTTTCGAGTGTGATTTGTTTTGGCTTGCTAGATATTTGAGTGAGATTTGTTTTTCGAGTGTGATTTGTTTTGGCTTGCTAGATATTTGAGTGAGATTTGTTTTAGCTTGCTTAATTTTCGAGTGTGATTTGTTTTGGCTTGCTAGATATTTGAGTGAGATTTGTTTTTCGAGTGTGATTTGTTTTGGCTTGCTAGATATTTGAGTGAGATTTGTTTTAGCTTGCTTGATTTTCGAGTGTGATTTGTTTTGGCTTGCTAGATATTTGAGTGAGATTTGTTTTAGCTTGATTGATTTTCGAGCGTCATTTATTTTGGCTTGCTAGATATTTGAGTAAGATTTGCTTTAGCTTGCTAGATATTTGAGTGGATTTGTTTCAGGTTGCTTGATTTTTGAGTGTGATTTGTTTTGGCTTGCTAGATATTTGAGTGAGATTTATTTTAGGTTGCTTGATTTTCGAGTGATTTGTTTTAGCTTGCTAGATATTTGAGTGAGATTTGTTTTAGCTTGCTAGATTTTCGAGTGTGATTTGTTTTGGCTTTCTAGATATTTGAGTGAGATTTGTTTTAGCTTGCTAGATTTTCGAGTGTGATTTGTTTTGGGTTGCTAAATATTTGAGTGAGATTTGTTTTAGCTTTCTTGATTTTCGAGTGTGATTTGTTTTGGCTTGCTAGATATTTGAGTGAGATTTGTTTTAGATTGCTAGATTTTCGAGTGTGATTTGTTTTGGCTTGCTAGATATTTGAGTGAGATTTGTTTTAGCTTGCTTGATTTTCGAGTGTGATTTGTTTTGGCTTGCTAGATATTTGAGTGAGATTTGTTTTAGCTTGCTAGATTTTCGAGTGTGATTTGTTTTGAGTTATTTGAGTGAGATTTGTTTTAGCTTTCTTGATTTTCGAGTGTGATTTGTTTTGGCTTGCTAGATATTTGAGTGAGATTTGTTTTAGCTTGCTAGATTTTCGAGTGTGATTTGTTTTGGGTTGCTAAATATTTGAGTGAGATTTGTTTTAGCTTTCTTGATTTTCGAGTGTGGTTTGTTTTGGCTTGCTAGATATTTGAGTGAGATTTGTTTTAGCTTGCTAGATTTTCGAGTGTGATTTGTTTTGGCTTGCTAGATATTTGAGTGAGATTTGTTTTTCGAGTGTGATTTGTTTTGGCTTGCTAGATATTTGAGTGAGATTTGTTTTAGCTTGCTTGATTTTCGAGTGTGATTTGTTTTGGCTTGCTAGATGTTTGAGTCAGATTTGTTTTAGCTTTTTTGATTTTCGAGTGTGATTTGTTTTGGCTTGCTAGATATTTGAGTGAGATTTGTTTTAGCTTGCTTGATTTTCGAGTGTGATTTGTTTTGGCTTGCTAGATATTTGAGTGAGATTTGTTTTAGCTTGCTTGATTTTCGAGTGTGATTTGTTTTGGCTTGCTAGATGTTTGAGTCAGATTTGTTTTAGCTTTCTTGATTTTCGAGTGTGATTTGTTTTGGCTTGCTAGATATTTGAGTGAGATTTGTTTTAGCTTGCTAGATTTTCGAGTGTGATTTGTTTTGGGTTGCTAAATATTTGAGTGAGATTTGTTTTAGCTTTCTTGATTTTCGAGTGTGATTTGTTTTGGCTTGCTAGATATTTGAGTGAGATTTGTTTTAGCTTGCTAGATTTTCGAGTGTGATTTGTTTTGGGTTGCTAAATATTTGAGTGAGATTTGTTTTAGCTTTCTTGATTTTCGAATGTGATTTGTTTTGGCTTGCTAGATATTTGAGTGAGATTTGTTTTAGCTTGCTAGATTTTCGAGTGTGATTTGTTTTGGCTTGCTAGATATTTGAGTGAGATTTGTTTTAGCTTGCTTGATGTTCGAGTGTGATTTGTTTTGGCTTGCTAGATATTTGAGTGAGATTTGTTTTAGCTTGCTTGATTTTCGAGTGTGATTTGCTTTGGCTTGCTAGATATTTGAGTGAGATTTGTTTTAGCTTGCTAGATTTTCGAGTGTGATTTGTTTTGGCTTACTAGATATTTGAGTGAGATTTGTTTTAGTTTGCTTGATTTTCGAGTGTGATTTGTTTTGGCTTGCTAGATATTTGAGTGAGATTTGTTTTAGCTGGCTTGATTTTCGAATGTGATTTGTTTTGGCTTGCTAGATATTTGAGTGAGATTTGTTTTAGGTTGCTTGATTTTCGAGTGTCATTTATGGCTTGCTAGATATTTGAGTGAGATTTGCTTTAGCTTATTTGAGTGAGATTTGTTTTAGCTTGCTTGATTTTCGAGTGGGATTTGTTTTGGCTTGCTAGATATTACTGTGTTAGCTCTGTAAAAAATGCACCCACGTAAATGATTTTCAAATTTTTATTTACGTTTCAAACGTTTCTGAACATTTTGTTATTTTTTGAAAAAAAAATGGATGTATTTGTGTTTTAAATTTTAGTAGACGATTTCGGAAACACGGATCAACCGATTTGAATTATTCAAAAAACATTCGATTTGTATTGATAAGAAGACGTGCTGATTAGTTTTTAGACAATTCAGTTTTTGAGCGTCCGATTCAAATATTTCAAAAAAGCATTGACAAAATGAAAAAAATTATAAATTTTTGGAAAGACAAGTTTAGCGGTTTTGAAGGTCGAGTAAAAAAAGCGAAAAAATAAAAGCGCGTCGATATTTCTTTTCCACGCAGCTAAAGTATCGCAATTGCTTTGAAAAACAGTTCATTTTTTTTAAAATATTTCAAAAAATAAAAAAAAAAAAATTAAAAATCATTAAAATTGACGAAAATCTATATTTTGCAAAGTTCCAAAATAAAGTTTTTTTTTTTTGAAAATTTAATTTTTGGTATGGTAAGATTAAACAATTTGCCTTAAGGCACGATGCCATGCACCACTAGTTTTCAAAGTTTTCACCGTGGGGCAAGTAATCGCAAAAAAATCGAAAATGAAAATTTTTATATATCTTTACGTTTCAAAACCTTCTGAAAATTTTGGCATACCTTACAAAAAATGGATGCATGTGTATGTGTGTGTGCATGTATGTATGTGTGTGCGGATACAAATTTTCGTCGACGTTTTCGGGAACACGGATGAAGCGATTTCAATAATTTAAAAAACATTCGATTCATATTGATAAGAAGACGTGCTGATTAGTTTTTGGCGAAGGCAGGTCTAGCCGTTCCGAAGATATGAAGCAAAAAGTGCCAGAAACGGTTCCTCAGTTTTTAAGAGAACGGAGAGTCCGATTTGAATAATTCAAAAAACATTTTACTTGTATTAACAAGAACTGATCAAATTTTTATGAAGGCAGGTCTAGCGGTTTCGGAGATCTAGTGAAAAAAGTAAAAAAAATGCCATTTGGCGGTCAAAAATGATCATTAGACATATGCACATAAAATTATCAGATATTTTATAGACATTTTAACAATAAGTATATTTTTTTTTACATTCCTATGGGTTCCGTACCAATGTTCATCCGTTAGACGGCAACGCGGCGCTTACGCGCTTCGATATTTCGTAATTAAATTAAATTTTTCTTCAAAAGTCGTTTTTTTTTCAAAAAAAGTAAATTTTTGTCAAAAATTTGTAGTTTCTCAAAAATCTAATTTTTCAGAGTTTTTTTTCAAAAATGTTAATCTTTTTTAAAAAAAAATAATTTTTGGTACGGGAAGTTCCAGCAATTTGCCTTAAGGCACAATGCCATGCGCCCCACTAGTAGTTAGTCGTTTCAAAACAAACAGCTTTTTCAATCAGAATGCAAGAGTGGGGCGCATGCGCTCCTCTGGCGGCATACAATAATATCCCCCATGTGTTTCGGTGTTCGAAAATATATAAGTCGCACGGCGCGCGGGTACAAAGCAGCATGGCACTCTACATATAAATATATAGAGAAACTTCAGTCAGCTTATGGACGTCGTAATGGGATGACGTTGGTAAAAGAATACTATCACGTGGTAAAAGAAACCCTAACTAATAACAGTTCTTCGTGATTATTATTATCGTGATTCTTTTCCCAATAGTGTAAATTGTGTTTTCCCGGTGTGTTGATTTTATGGTGGTGAATTGAGAAATTTTAACAATTATTTCTAGTGATGGGTAGTGATATTACCCCAATGACTACTTGTGATTACACTAAATTTGGTCTAAATTTGAAGAAACGGTCCGTGGATGAGGGAATTGACGTAAGTCTCACTGATGTGTAGTGTCCGATAACACGCGGTTGTTGAAGCGAGCAGCGGGATAATCTATAATTATATCCTATAATTATGAAAGAGTATCGTTTTTCATCTGAAAATTCAATGCACCACTAATTTTACTATTATAGTTGAAATAGAATCTTGAAAATTATATCTAGGCAAGATTGAGGAGAATTGTATCTTATTAAACATGATCTTAAGTTTTGTGCGGTAATTGGAATCTCTAGATTTTACCTATTTGTTGTTTTATCTACTTATGCATTATGAACATCCATAGATAAAGATATAAACTGTGGTGTAATGGTAAATTGCTGGAACTTCCCGTACCGTACCGTAATATTCGAGGAATATTAAATGCTTTCAAATAAATTACTATAAATACTGTAATATTGTCTAATATTTATAAGAATTATATAAACTAAATTACAAAGTTAAAATTATCCATTTAATTTATATAAGCGATCTATAGAACTTTAACCAGAATTAAAATTGAAATCTGAGTTATTTCCAATATACAAAAAAAAATTGAAATGAAGTTTTTTCCCCAAAAGCAATTGTTTTGTCAAAACAAATAGAAAGTTTTTTGAATCTTTCAAATCGGATGCTTATTTCTCTTGAAAACTGCTATTTTTTGTACATTTAGCTCTGTATCGTATCGTAGTATCGTAATAGCAAGACCTGCCTTTGCCAAAAACTAATCACCTCTTCTCCCAATCATTATAAATTGAATGTTTTTTTGGATCATTCAAATCAGATACTCCATTCTCTCAAAAACTCGATTTCTATTGTCTGCACTCTTTGCTCCGTATCTCCGTAAGGGCTGGACCTGACTTTGCCAAAAACTAATCAGCACATCTCCCTATCAATAGGAATCGAATGTTTTTTTAACCATTCAAATCGGCTGATCGTGCGCCCGAAAACGTGAACAAAAAAATACAAAACACACACACACAAACATCAATTTTTTCTGACAATCAGGTATGCAGAATGTTCAGAAACCTCTAAAACGTAAAGATATGCAAAAATTTTCATTTTCAATTTTCGGCCCATTACTATAACTTACCCTACGGGAAGTTAATAAATCATCTTCCTAGTTAAGTATTCTGAAGTGATTCACACCTGAAACTAAGCATTTAAGTCACCTTGATGTCATTCAATGCTCCATATATAATTATTTCAACCGTTTTTTGGGATTCATGATATATATGATAACGTTACATCTGATTTCTGAATTGATCTATTTATTACTAATTATTCTATTGATTTTTTTTTTTAAAATATACTTAACTTATCATAATTAGTTATTTAGCAAATTGACCCACATTTATATAAAACTTTAATCATAATTTAATCATAATTTTTATTTATCAATTGCTATTTGAAATTCTCTGAAAAATTTAATGAACTCAAGATTGGAGACTAGAATGAAGTTATTAATTGTAACAATATTTCGAATGTTTTCTGTCTGCAAATAATCACAAAATAAATTATTTCTAAGAACTGAAAATTCTAATATTATTAAATGCAGCTTTTTACAGAACATCATGCATTTTGCATTCCAAATTTTTGAGACTTATGATATACATGACAAAACTTCTTATTTATTCGTGCATTATATAAAATTATTATTATTTTAGTTATATTTATTATTGTTATTATTTTAAAAAAATATACACAATTTAATATAATTAGCTAAACAAATTTCATCATGTTTTAAAAATTGAACGCCTATAAAACATGATGAAATTTGTTTAGCTAATTATATTAAATTGTGTATATTTTTTATATTTTGAATATAAAAATTTAATGTACTTTAGTCATAATTTCTGTTTATCAATTGCACTTTGCATTATGAACAAAAACTATAACACGATACATAAAGTAAATAATTTTTTATTAAAAAAAAACTATCATTAAATGCTCAATATAATTTATATTATTCAAATTCTTTTTTGAGATTTATCATTAGGTGAAATTAATAATTTGTCGGAAAATATACCCAACTTACTATAATCCCTGAACAAACTTTATTCCATTTTGATAATTGACAAAAATAGATTTGACCATCGTTTATATAAAATTTAAAACAACAAAAAAAATTGAATTTTTTTTTTAAATCAAACTAACAATTCTGATCATCGACAATGTCGCCGTTGTTCAGGTAGTGTATCATAAATACAAGATGTGCGTCACGTTTGTTTTCTGGATCATTTAGAACCTGTGTTATTTTGGTTTTCTCACATTGTGTGGTTGTAATATTTTGAGCCAAATGATTAAGCACACAATACGATACGCTATCTTATTACTTATTTATAAAAATCACATTTGGGATGCTTCTAATACACCTAAAAAAGTTAAAAAAGCATTCTTACAAGATATAAATTAAATTAATATTTATTCGATCTCTGCTGATAAATATTTATTTCAAGATACCAGATCAAGGTTATATACAATGTAATTTTTGTAAAAATTGTTCTCATAAAGTTTGTATTTACATTGGTTAAATAATGTAGCTATTATTTCATACAATTCCTTTATTTTGTTGGGTCTGTTTGACCCCTCGCTGTCCCTTCTTACCCCGTCATGAAGCAAAATGGGACAGATGACAAATTTTAGAAAAATATTAGGTTGTCAAATATCTCCCTTCCGCTTTTTTGCTCTTGGTTTATAATACAAAAAGGCGGAAGGGAGATATTTGACAACCTATTAGTAAAAAAAAACATATTTCTATAATTAGGAGTTAACTGGGAATTTTACTGAGCATTGTTCGATAGTTGTTTGTTTGATATATGTTATGTGTTGTCATGTAGTGCATTTAGTATAGACAGTATTATTACTGAAAGTCAAATTCGACTTTTGTGCCCCGCGCTACCCTAATAATATAAAAATCACTACATCTACATTGTATTAACGATGATTTATACTTATTTATCTATGATGATTACCATCTGCATTTTTATCAGTGAACTTTTTATATATTCTTTTTCTACATTTTGTACATACTATTATATCACTTTTCATAAATTTCTACTTTTCTATATTGTAACTAGGATTTAACTATAATATGTTCCAGCAAATTATTTGTTTCTCTACTTTTTGAAGAAGAATTCCATACACTTAATATAAAATTCTTCTGTACGGGTGTATGGATTTGATACTTCTCCTAAACGGTTATTCGGATTTTGATAATTCTTTTTAGAGTTTGTCAAAGGAAAATGAACGATAAAACAATAGTATTATTGTAGAAATAAATGGCAAAAATTACAAAAAAAAAACACTTATCATTGTTTGACATTGAAAACATTTGAACTGTCATCTGCTAGATATGTCAATGTACTTGAAATTTGAATTTAGCTGAAATTATGAGTCTAAATAATATTAGAATATAATATGCAAGAAAAATGTAATGTCTACATTATTACTGCTAAAAAGCAGGTGAGATGCGCCAGAAATTTAAATAATATAAGATACAGTCAATAGTATATGTTATGTATGGCAGATAATTATATAATTCAGTTTAATAAATTTATATTTATGAATTGCCATTTTTTAATTTTGTAACCAGGATTTAACTGCAGAATCCCCAGTACGTTCTAACAAATTCATTGTTTCTCTACTTTTTTCCTGTAACCAGAATTCTTGTATCTAGATTCCAGATTCTCTAACATATCATCCAAACGCGAGATTCCATTACAACTTCAGAGAGAAAAGCTTTTACAAATTGCTAAAAATTCTAGAATTTATTCATCGCTGGCTGAATAAAGAAACAAAATTTAGTCAATTTTTTTGTTGATATGTTTGTTTTATTTATATCAATTACTGACAAAAACAATTTTCTTGCCAATATAAACAAACACGTAATCTGAGATCTTTACAAAGTAATGCGAAATACTATAATCCGTATTTAGCGTTGGATGTGCTCAATAGTATAACTTAATTATTATATAGGTTAGGTATATCGGTTATGTACAATGTTTCCAATGGAAATTCTACACCTCCTAGCCATAATACATGAAAAGAAACATGATACGAGCTAGGTGTCAGCTTATCACCGAAGTCCTGGACTTGCGACGCATTTTATGAAAATATGTTGTTAATTCTGGAATGGTAGATTACTGATATAATGTCCTTTTGCACCTTGAAATTTTGTCTGAATAATTAAAAAAAAATATTCATAACATTTGTCATCTATATCACTAATATCTATCGACCAAATAGAACTAATTTTCATGGACAGCCTGATGTCAAGCAGCAGAGACATGGGTTTTCAAATATAGATAGTAACATGTATCTAAGTAAAAATTGCGTTTCGGAGCATTGTTGCATCAATGAAAATTCCTCAATCTTACAGAAATTGTGATAATATGGAATATCACATAGAGTTAGGACAACAGTTAGTAGGAGAGCTAAGGGCTTGTTGCAACAGTTTTTTTTATAAATCAATAATCTTGATCTACCAAATCCAGTAAAAATAATTAGCTATTGTTTATTATTTCACAATAAATCATTTTCTAGAAAAAGTGCTGTGCTACAACTTACCTTGTGTTTACAACTTACTCTTGTTACAATAAGCCCGAGCCATTAACGAGAAAACCATTTTGCGAGCCAATAACGAGAAAAATTTACTCTAACAAAGTATTTCTTAAAAAAAACCTATGTAAAGAAATGTTTTAAGAGGAAATTCACAAACCATTCACCAAACTAGTGGTGCATGGCATCGTGCCTTAAGGAAAATTGCTGGAACTTCCCGTACCGAAATTGGAAATGTTTATAAAAGCTTCAATTTCTTTCAAAACTTTGACAAAATTAGATTTTTGAAAATTGATTTTTTTTTTAAAAATTGTCATTTTTGAAAAAAAGATTTTTTTTATATTTTGATTTTTTTGAGAATTTTGAACTTTTTTTTAAAGCAATCGTGCTGCATAGTTGCGCGGTAGTCTAAAGTGTAAAAATTAGTACGGAACCCATAGAAATGTACACAAAAT